GGTAACCTCTACACCTAACCAGATCTGATTAGCCGTGGTGTGTGTGCATGTGCATGTGCATGGGGAACCATTCATTCACCCAGCCATTCATTCATTCATTCAGTCGCTGATGAGGCATTCAAACGGATGTTGCTTCATTTGAGAGGGCTGCCAGTGGATAAATCACTGAATGCATTCATTAAACGCCATACAATGGCCGGGTGTTGTGTAAATTATACATAATCAAGGGAATGCATGCACATTTACGCGAGTATTGCTGAACAGATCCTTCGAACATTTGTATAATTTCAAGAATCACTCAACATTCTATGACTGGACTTTTTGTCAGCACAGATGGAACGATTGTGGGGCCATTATTCAGCCACTTAGTGATTCATTTACTTCTCAAACTCAGTGGACCAGTCGTTTGCCCCACTCTGTGCCTGTCCCAGCCATTCTTTGTTCATCTTCCCCCCTGATCGTTCATTGATCCACTTATTCATTCACTCACTCACCCACTCACCCACTCATCTGGCGGTCCAAGCCGTCTGCTAGCTAGCTCATTCACTCCTACGAAATGTGAATGTGAACGCCTTCTAGGCTGTTGCTCGTCAACCGTTGTCAATGTCCTCCGCCCCCATTTTCCTGCCCTCTTCAGCTGTCATTGCTTTGTGTAAGCGGCGGGGGGTGGGAGAGGGAGCAGGGGGTGGGCAATGAAAATACCTGCAAGGAAATTATACGAAAACTGAACAAGCCAAAAACAACGGAAGGTTGTTATTTTAGAGTTCAAGTTAAAGTTAAGCAGCGCCTGCAGCACTCGGCGCTCAGCGTTCAGCCCGGACTGCCAGGCACCGGCATGGATCCTGTCTGTCTGGCTGTGCACATCCTTGCTGTTGGGGCCGCCCATCGGAGCGGCGGGTGGAGCGGATAGAGAGGATAGAGGATTGGGTAGATGCGACAGCAATGAAGTGCACTCGGGATGTGAATGGGTATGAGAGTGTTTTTCGCTGTGTTTGTGTGTGTGTGTGTGTGTGTGTGTGTGTGTGTGTGTGTGTGTGTGCCTGCTGCCTTGCCTCTTCATTGCTGCTGCTGCTGCTGCTGCTTCCCCTTCTGCGATATCCTTGCCACGTCCTATCTAGTTGACTCTATTCTCGTTACTCGTATCTTTGTAGAACAATTTTGCCTCAATGCAAGCGGCAAAATGGTTGAATGAACGAATGCATGAATGAATGAATGAATGAATGAATGAATGGGCATATCCTCTCCCTGCGGCCCCCGTACCGTTCCTTCTACTCACGTTTCTCCGGGTATTTCCTATCTGGTTGCCCATTCGAATGGCGCTGAAAAGTTTCTCTCACTTTGACTTAAGTGACGCCCTGCTCCACCGGCTCCTGCCCTTATCCTGCTACTATTTGAGGTCCTTTCTGGCTCCTTCCTTCTGCCTTTCTGCCATTCGCCCAACAATTGCCGAGTGCACAAGTGAACAACTCAAGTGTTTGGGATGCTCTTCCTACTGCTCCTGCTCCTGCTCCTGCTCCTGCTCCTGCTCTCCTCGCTGCTGCTGTCGTTGTTCTTCTCGCTGTTGTCGTTGCTGTCGTTTGTTGCTGGTGCAATTAGTGCAGAACGCACTATTACTGCTCCTATTATTATTATCATTATGAATTTTAAGCAATCAACTGCAAGAGAACGAGAACGAGCATTCTGAACTTAAAGTTGTCGACACGAGACTTCTCAATGAATGCTCTTTCGCTCGATGAATGGTGAATGGCAGCGGAATGGCAGCAGAATGGCAGCTCGAGTTGAAGTGGATAGTGGAAAGTGGAAAGTTTGTACCTTCTAATGGATGGAGGCTATGGTATGGTCCCATGTAAACAGGAGACCATGAAAAGCCATGGAAATTGAATTGTTGCTTTTCATTTCATTTTCCGTGTGCTTTTTCCGGCTCCGTATTTATTCTCTTGTTTTCCTATGATAATTGTGATGTTTATTTATGAGAAAGTCGAGTGGAAAATGCCGCCCAGCCGCTGTTCTCTCTCTCTCTATATCATCTAAATTGTTTTTCGGATACCCAAAAATGCGTGGGGCGGGGGTATACGTATTAGGGGGCTGGTGAGCAGAGAAATTTGTCTGTTATTTTTAAGAAGGCTTTTTTTCCATGTTTTTTTTAGTACATTTGTAGAGAATAACAAAGGGGATGCCAGGGTTCGGCTGGGAGTCTCCTTAGGTAGGCTTCTCCAAAAGAAAGTTCAGAGGTTCGACCAACCATAGGAGAAGGGTGTTGCAAATTCATCTAGTTTCTCTTTAAATACACCAATATTGACCCAGAAGATCAGCTGTTTCCCCTGTAGCCACTCGCTTGGGGGGGAAAACCTCGAGTAGAATAGAATCCTAAGGCTCAATCCTAAAGGAATCAGGCTATTAAACATTACTTATCAATCCATTGTTATTCTTTCATCCACCATCTCCATCTCCAACTCCAACTCCGTGTCCATGTTCTTCATCTACATTTTCATCTGCATGCCGTATGGTTCATTCCGCATTCAGCCTTGCTCCAATTTCTTATCTTTTAATTAGACTGGTCAGAATGTCGAGATTTACTGCTGGACATTTGCTGGGATGCTGCAGCGATGGGATGCTGGTGCGATGGGAAATTGTCTCAATATTATGTAAACTTGGGTCTAAGACTCGTTTTGTTTCGTTTCGCTTTAGTGTGAGTCCAATAACGGGTTTCAGCTGACATTTCCCTCTGGCAGTGGCTGTCAGTTGCTGTGGCTCTCTGGTGCTCTGATGCTCCGATGCTCTGGTTCCTTGGTTCCTTTCTCTCTCTCCCTCTCTCTCTCTCTCTCTCTCTCTCTGTCTCTTATTTACAGCGCAATCAAATTTAACTGTTTAAACAAGCGATGAAAAGATTCTGCTCTGCTCATAGATACACGCGCACACACACACACACACACACACACACACATGTGAGAGCCTGCTGCAGTCATTGTCATTGCCAGAGAGAGCAGGCAGTAGGAGCTGCTGGTGGGTGGCAGTGGGCGGGCGGGAAAATGCAAAACAATTTCAGGCGAATTAGCGTAATTGTCTCGCCGCTGCCGCTGCCGCTGCCGCTGTCGCTGTTGCTGTTGCTCCTTCCACTCGTCCTCGTCGCGTACTACTTCTGAGACAATGGATCCACAGCTCCGAAGGAGAAGGAGCTCCAAAGCCAAGAAAGGAGCACAGCATTCATGCTACTTAATCCTCTAATTTGTGTGTCTGTGCGGCTCTCTTTCTCTCTTCTCCCCTACGGCCCCTCTCCCCTCTGCCAATCTCTGTGCGGGCCACGCCCCCTTTATTCGTTGTGTGCCCAAAAACCAAAGCAAAGTTTGCCTTCATTTATATGCAAAAATGTAAACCAAAAAATCAGCGAGAATGTTAAATCCAACAAAATGCATTTAACACATAAAAATTTGCATAGAAAGTGGCTTTGGTATGCCATCCCCCCCCCACCACCCTTCTCACAGCCCCCGTGCCGCATTTTGGGTGGCACACGTATCCCACATAACGAAGGCCCCAAACCTCAGGCCCCGAAACCACTCCAACATCCAATACCACACTATCTCTAGTGCGAGACGCCAGAACAATTGAAGTTAATTTTATTTTTATTTTTATTTCCGCTCCTTTACATTATTTTTATTGTGATGTGATGTGATGAGCCGTCTGCTGTGCTGTGTACGTCGGATTGTGTGGCTAGAAGGCCCAATACCAATGCCGTCCTTGTTTAACCAGCTAATTCGCCTACGGTAGGGCCTTTCCACCAAAGTGTCGTTCAACTAATGACAGCACAACGCAGCAGCACAAATTTCTCATAGGCGAACGGATCGCAGGTCAATCGGTATTTTCCTGGACGACGTCCCACGAATACTTCGATGTTGTGACTAACGTCCACTGCGTGGGCAATCATCCTGAAAATTACAAGAAGTGTTAATTGGTCGTTAAAAACTTAAGGCGATTTCAATATCTTAGGTTATGCTGAGAGAGCAGCAGCAGGAGAGTCTGGTAGGTACCAGTAGGGAGCCATGAGCCGAACCATCGAAAGAATGGTGGATATGCAGCAACAGGTCTTGGGGATGCCACGGAAAATTCCTCGGCCCTCTCACCAGTAGATAAAACACGGCTTTTGAAAACCGAAAAGCGCCCTTTAGGGTCGTGGAAGCCCTACATATGAATGTCCTTCACGATAAGCAGCGCCTCTCCATGCCTCTCCTCTCAAGTTGTTCAGCTAAGGCGCCCTCCGATTTCCACGAGTTGCACAACGCTTTACGTTTCCACTTTTGGGGTGTGGGTCTCTGTCCCTCCTTCCTTTACGCTTGGCCATTTCTTATTATGTATTTGTAACCAATTGGTTGCCCAATCTCTCGCCCCCACATTCACGCTCAGTCAATTTTTTGCTGCTGCTGTATCTGCTGGTCCTGTATCCTTTGTGTGGTTGTTGTTTTTGCATGTGTTGAGATTCTCATGGAAATTTGCATACAAATTGCGTCTGGCGCGTAGGACGCAGCTTGGGACGCTGGAACGCTGGGTCGTAGGACGAGGGCGATAGCCGTGCGGTGGGCGGTGGGCGGTGGTTGGTCTGCGGGATACGTACTATGTGCATGTGTACATGTGTACGTATGGATAGGACAGAACCAGCTGGCCCGACATGCGTTTGGGGTTAACGAAGGGTTAACACAACACAAAAAATAACAGCAGCAACAGCAGCAGCCGCACCTGACAACTGTCAAATTTTGTGGGCTACCATCTACCATCGATAAATGAAATAGCAAAAACGTATGTTCCGAGTGATCCGATCAGCCTAAAGACTACACGCAATACAGATTATTTGTTTTTTATACAGGAACACATCTAATCCATCAAAGAAGAGCTTTGATCCAGTCAATCCTATGGAACGAAATTTCGCCTTTTATTCCATTTCAGAACTCCACAAAAGATCCTCAAAATCAATTAATTTGTAGCAACGATTAAAGACTAAAGTATTTTTTAATTATCGAACTGCAAATCTTATTAATAATATTTTACATCAGGTAAATTTTTCAGCTGATTGGGAGACGGATGGATATTACTTCTTAGACTTTTTAAGATGCTGATTTGAGGCTTGAGGTTTGACCAAATCTGCACGGGAACCGGCCACAAATAACTGATCTTGGCTCGCTTCTCTCTGCATCTCGCTATTTTGAGATGTTGCTGGACTTTCAAGGGAAATCGCTGCATATTTATCTGGAGCTGGGTCAGCCGCAGCCATGTAGAGACGGTGCTCCTCCAATGCCAGCTCGGCCCTGAAGGATAGGAGCAGTGTATTAGGTTGGAATTCTATTCCGTATTCTATGGATGCATACTCCTCCTTGGCTCTCTCCACCTGACGCTCGTACTCGTCCTTCGGTTTGAGAAAGCAGACCATGTCTAGTGGAATGTTGCCATACCGCTTGCGTGCAATTTCCCGCTGATTTTCAATCTTATTTTTGAAATGATACCACCGAAGTGTCTCCTGGTTGAGGAGCTCTTGCTTGAGGTTTTCCTTACTGCAAGCAAAAATTGAGAAATCAGAGGGTATTGAGGTGATAGATAGATAGATCTGTACGTACGTCCTTTCGGCTTTTCGACGATTGAGCTTGATCTGCTCGAATTCCTCGTGAATGCGTTGCCGAAATGATTCCCGATCATTTATTATGTTCTGCAAAGACTTGGACATCTTGATAGGGTATGGAGCCTCGGCTGGGGACAATCAAAAGACAATCAAATAGTACAGATGGATGGACTGAAAGCACAGAAAGCCGTCTTTCCGCTCACCCAAATGACTGCAATTTCAATTTACTTTCACTTCCAAATTGTATATAATTTAGCTTTCACTCGTTGCACAATCGAAAAATCGGAGTGATGGTTTTGAAGGTTATTCGAATTTTTTGATTTGCCAGGAGCTGTGCATGTGATGACGAAAAATATAAAACTGAATCTGCAAACAAATTCTACTATGTTAGCTGAGAACTTCAATTGTTCGATAGGAATGCTCTAGAAGTTAGTGCAGAGTAGGCTGGAACCTTAACGTCGAAACACGCAGTGAAACGGAACAGACGAACGAACGAAAGAACGAGTAGAACTACTAGAGATCTAACGGGTAACAGGGAGAACTAACGAGATATGCCTGAGGAACTAAATATTGAGGATGTCGTGTGGACCATCAAGAACGGGGCTTACGAGGAGGTGGCGTCTCTTTTCGTGAACAACTACTTCGACGTAAACGAGCAGATGGGAATGCGTTACCCCATGCATTACGCCGCCGACTTTGGCCACCTGAAGCTGTTGCAGCTCTTCATTCGCATGGGGGCCGTGGTGGACCAGAAGGACAAGTACGGGATCACACCGCTGCTGGCCGCCATCTGGGAGGGGCACACCAACTGCGTGGAATATCTGCTCCAGATGGGCGCCAAGCCCACCGAGCTGACGCCCATCGGCGAGAGCTACATGGAGGTCGCCGAGATCGCCGAGATCAAGGAGTTGTTAAATCACTCGACAGAGGTTCGCAAGACCGAAAAACTCGCCACAGCCCTTTTCTTTTTAAATTATGTTTTTCTCCCATAGTTCTAGAAGATTCTCGAAGGACTGTACCACAGAGTTCCAGAGTTCGGCAGAGTGCGCTGTCTCTTCCTATGAAATTGAACAGTTTCTAATATTGTAAAATTGATTGTAAAGAACATTTCGAAAAAATTGTCACAACTGGTAAGCCTCTGGCATTTGTTTCAGTGTCACTTCCACTCCCATTCCCAGTAGCCCCGACATTAGGATCGATTTATCATCGTTATCCTTATGTTTGGTATTTAATATGCAAATCAGCCTCTCGCATGAACGCCCAAACATATGCAACAAGACACAATCTCGACCAAATGCGATAAATATGTTGATGCGGTCGTGTTTTTCATGGCCCATACCCCGGCCCATACCCCGGCCCATACCCCGGACCAGCCCCAGGCCCAGCCCCCCTCGGCAGCTTGGGGCCAAATTGGGAGGGACGCTGTGATGCTGCCCTCCACTGTCTGGTTTTGTGTGCTTTTTCCTGCATTCTTCATTAAAAATAATGAAAATTGAATTTAATTCGCTTGTCAGGCCTAATTATAATTATGTTAATGGCGCATGTTTTCCACAACATTTACACAATGCTTATCCAAATCGTCAACGAATATGCCCCGACTATGCCCCATGTACATGCAACCATTCGCTGCTAAGCGCGACAGCGAATGTTTTTCATTTCAACCGATATTTGGATCGGGTTAAATTAGTTGGAACTAATTGGCAGTGATTAGCCTTCAGCTGGAACTCTGTTCTTGTTGTTCCAATAGCACAGCAGTGTTTCAGGCACATACTTAGTAGAACTCTTGCTGTTTTCTACCATACAATACAGCACACGATGATCCTCAAGTCCCCAAGAAATAAATAGATCCTACAATTGATATGAGTAGAGACAATGACGCCTAAGTGTCACCGCCCAAGAGGTACCGCCCAACACAGCCCGAGTGAGTGAATGAACCATATAGTATTCTCGAAAAGTTCTACAAAACGGTTATTAAACTACTTCCGTAATGGACAGTGGAATAGTTTACAGTACTCTTCTCAAATCCTTGAAGATTTCTTCTTGGTTTGAAAGAACTGCAAGATAGAACCAATCATTGGCCATTTGACATTCCCTTGAGGACCTGCTACTTGGTCTTGTCTTGAAGAATGGATTCCTTCCTTATATAGTCTTTCATCTTCTACTGATATATATATCATATGCATGTGTGCTCAAGCCATTCGTTTGCATTCAGTGAACGATCCCTTAAACCGACACTGCCCTGAATAAATTATGCTCTTCTTATAGAAAAAAATTAGTGAATGATTGTTCTTGTAGTCCATTCAAAACGCGTTTTATTACTGAACTTCTGCTTGCTCTATTTTTTGAGCTAGTTTCCATTATTGACTTTGTCTTTGTCTTGTGTTTAGTCAGAGAACCAATGATTTGAGGACTGGGGGGAATAGTTTTTTTCTGCTTGCCTCTATTACCATATCTTCCTCTCTGTTTGGGTTTCTCTTCATTTTTTCTGCCATTACCAAAGCCACTCGCTTGTCGCTAATTTTTTCACTTTAGTTTGCCCAACGATATGGAAACAATCGCTGAGCTTTAACCAGACCAAGCCGACATCCAGGCGGCAGTAGGCACACAGGCACACAGGCACACAGGCACACAGGAGGAGGGCCTGTGAGGTGGAGGCAGAAGAGCGGCTGGGAGTGGGAGTAGGAATGGGAATAGGAGTAGCATTTCGGTTCGGTTTTTGGCAAAGTTGGTTACAGCGATTGAATTTAATTAGCTTATCATGAAAGCGTATTCCCCATAAATTTATCAAAATTGCTTTACACAGCAGCCCGGACATATCTTTGCCGGGAAGGGGGTTTTCTGGTGGCACGAGGCATGAGGCAGGAGGCAGGAGGCACGAGGCAGTAGACAGTAGGCAGGGGACGGGGTGTTGTCGGGTGGCGGGTGGCGGGGCGACGCACAAATTGCATTACGACCCGCCCATTAAACTGATAAAAACGGGAACCGAGAGCCGAGTGGCGGCTGGAGAGCGACACTTTAAAGTTGATGGTTCGAGAGAATCTAAAATCAAATTTATTAACGCACATTACAATGCGCACACTTCATAGCACACAATGGGCGATGGTGGTGGCGGGGCTGGCGGGGCAGGCGGGAGTGACGGGTGAGGACAGTGGTTCTGCCCGATTAGGGGGTGGTGCTGCTCGAGTGGGTGCGTTTTTGAGGGGTTGGGGGTTTCACAAATAATACGAGTACTCGTACAAAAGCCTTGCCTAGTCCTTTGTTTCCATCCTATGAATGGAAAATGCATAATCTATTTCTATTCTCTAGGGTCCTGTTAAGTTCAGTGTTGGACAGCGCCTTGAAGAATTGATAAAACACTGAAGAATGAATGATTTTAGTCAAAAATAACTATCTTAGATATCTCCCAAGAAAGGGAGGTGTTTTATTTTGAGGTTTCCCCCCTAATACTAAAAAAAGTGTAGTAAAGTAGCACAATGAAAGTTTTATTATTATTATAATAGGATAAAAAGAGAAATGTCAGTGATGGATAGAGGGGGTTTAGTCCAATATTTATAGGTTTGCGTACATCACAGATTAATACTTTCAGGAACTTTGTGAGTGTCAGTGCTGGAAAGCAGTCTGTGAAACAAATGGAAAGAGTAAAAAGTGGAACACTGCTCATTCCCCTCATTGAAAGTTCATTATTTTCTAATCAAATCAAAAAGTAATAATTACATTTGGGTGAATCCATGTTTCCCTTCTGAGGAATAAAGTGTGACCCTCCCAACCGTAATAAATATCTATAAATATATCTCCTTTGACAGTTCATTGACTTCTTCAAACATATAACATTAAGCAAACATGTATCCAATTATATCTATCTCTGACCTTGGATCCCACTGGATGATAATAATTAGCAGTCTATCCATATCTACATCTATACCATCATTCACAGCCATTAGTGATTGATTAATGTGCCGTGAAAGAGGCGTAGGTGACACCCCATACGGACTACACGCTCGCCTACGCGTTTCGTACTTACTTTTTGTGGAGACACGACCCCATAATCAGCTTTAAGCTGCGGTTCGATCAACTCTTGGGTGGCACTCAGCACACAGCCAGCCAGCCAGCCAGTCATCGGCTTATCGATGGGGCGACGGACCGACGCATACCCCGGCGCTGCTCACTTTGATAGCTGGCGAACTGTGTTAATTGATAAGCAATCGCTAATCGGCTGGGAGTACGTATAATAGGCACTACTACTACCAGTACGAGTCGAGTGCTCCTAAACTCCTAAAATAAAAGCAAAAGCAACAGCCACACCCCCCACCCCACCCCGGACTCTGTCTCTTTCCCTTAACCCTCTCGGTCTGTGTCTCTGCCTGTGTGTCTCTTTGTGGTATGCCTATCGCCTATCTCTGGTGTGCCCTGCACAGGCGTTCGCTTGTAGTGTCAACGCGATTATGATGATTATGTCGCTTCATGTGATATAGTCTGAGAGGTAGTGCGGCATGCACCAGGGGTAGAGAGAGAGAGAGAGAGAGGATTAGTTGGGTGGGGGTGGGGAGGCATGCAGCATAATCATCATCATCATCCTCCCCATCCGGCCAGCAATTGGAGGCATTTGTGCGTGAAATTACATTGAAAATTTAATTGTGCACACACACAAAGCACACAAAGTGCCGGTCGGTCGGTCGGTCGGTCGGCGGAGTGCATTAGATACGCAAAATTTGCTCATAAATTAAAATGCAACACTGCTGCTGCACCGCAATCACTGTGCAACGCAGCAGCACAGCAGCACAGCAACACAGTGTCGTGGCGGCCAGCCCCATTGAAAACCCCATGTCAGTGGCGGCGGGATGCGGATAAGAAATGCGATTATCATTCGAAATGGGAGATGGCCGCAGCACTGACCGCACCCAATCGCATTCCTAATCCCAATCCCAATGTCAGAGATGAAAGTATATTGATCTGGCACTTTCGCCTTGGCCCCAGGGCTTAGCCTCTCCTCAAAGGGATGTTCGTCTTCGATGTGGAGTCGGAGTTGGAGTCGTGCCATGACTTGGCCAGGTCCCGACCCAGAGAGCCCACACCTCAATCAACTGAATCTGGGGCAAACGAAATTGAGAATTTAAGAGAAATCGGCTGAGGGGTGCGGATTGCGGGCTGCGGGCTGCAATGGGTTGCAAAGGGTTGTAAATAAAATATTATCAACCATAACCAGGACAGCAGAGTGCTGGCTGGCAAACTTTCAGCACGCAATCATTAGTTGATTGTCTATCGATCTGCTTTCGGGGCTTCGGGGACTACGAGTACTAGTCTCCTCCTTCACACACGTGGCACACGTTGCAAGTTGCCACACGAATCTCTCTCCTGTTGCGGCCCACTCCACTTTTCGAAAAGTGGGCAAAAGTGCGGTGCAGCTGCTCCTCCTGCTCCTCCTGCTCCTCCGCTCCGCTCCCTGCACTCCACCACTTCCAGTCAGTTGATGCAGTTTTCCTGTGCGAAAATTAACAAACAAACAAACAAACACACACACACACACACACACACACATGGGAAAGCGAGTGTGGCAAATGAAAATGCGCGCGCGAGAATTCAATTTGTGGAAAAGAAAATGGTGTTGGATCAGTGGCTGGTTGGAGGGTGGCGTGCCGCCATGTTGTTGGGTTAGGCTATGGTTTAGCCTGCTGCCTGTTTACTTGAGGTTTTCCACCCGCCCAATACCCCATCGGCGCAGGAGGGCCAGCCGGAAGGAAATGCAAGCGAACAACCGAGGAGCTCGCAAGGCAAATACTCGTACTTGTACTCGCACTCGCACTACCCCAGCCCCACCGCTACCTTTGGGGATGAGTTGAGGTTGGGTCTCGAGGTCTGGTTAGGCCTTGTGCCACATGCAGAGCCGAATGTCTTGGGTTAGACCAAAAATTGGCACAAACGGAACTCGATTGGGTTCGCTGCTGGCAACAGACTTGTCACCAATCAAGTCGCTGCCACTTGCCACCAGAAGACACAGGCCCACAGTACGTTTCGGACGTGTAAGTCTGAAGGAAAGACCCAACATACATATAGGGTTTTGTCCCGCTTGATTGGCGGAGATGGGTATGATATAACCCTAGGAAAATACCCCCATATTGTGAAAGGAAAAGAGATTGATTGGAATCCCATTGGGATTTTTATTCTATGGCGTTCTGTGGCATATTCTTTTGCTGGTTCATGGTAAGTATATTTCAGGCATCTTCATTTGTCTTACAGTGCTCCAAGACCCACTCTCTGAGCAGCATGGAACGAAGGGAACGTCCTACTTTGAAAACCCTCAACTGCTGCAATGTTACGTCTGTCTAAAGTTTAATTGAAGAATGTAAATAGATATGGAGTCTGGAATCTTTCACGACTTTCCTCAGCGATTATCGAGGCAACCCCTTGGCATTTTCTTAGTCGTGGTTGTCCTTATCATTGTCCTTGTCCTTGGCAACGCCTGCCACCAAGTGCGGACGGGGTGGCGGTGGCATATTCAACAGATTCGGTACAAAATGAAGAGCACAACACATGCGAGTATGCACCTGCACCCATACCCATACCCATACCCATGACTATACTTATACCCACAGATGCCATCCCCTCATGCAATCCACGCCATAGATCCATAGGTAGTTTTGCCCTGCGAGCTGCTGCTGGAATACAAATGATGGCAATCTGTTTGGCTGTTGGATGGGTTCTTCTTCGATGCGGGGGGGACTGGGGAATGGGTTGTGGTTCAAAACATTTCGCTTGCAAGTTGGGTTGTGGGTGGATGTGGGTGCCCGTTGCCGTTGCCGTTGCCGTTGCCGTTGCCCGCCTTGTATGGCCAAATATTTCTATTATTAATGTCTGTTTATCTGCATGCGACGATGTCGTGTACCTACCTCCTCATACTTCTCCCTGCCCATGCCCCTGCCTCTTCGATCTCTGGGCTGTCTGGTGGGTGTCTTTGTTTACGCTGCTTTATGAGCTTCGATTAATTTTGCGCGTAAATAGCACCCGAGAAGCAGAATCAGAATCAGAATCAGAATCAGGGGGCAGCAGCGGAAGAGGTTCGTTCCTCCGGCAATTTGTTGGTATCTCTGCTCTTTCAGCTATATTTATACATAGTTTATTAGTTGTTGTTTTCTCTCGTGAAAATATAAACAACAAATGCACGAAACATTGCCAATGATAATGATAATGATGATGGTGATGATGATGTGTGGGTTGTTGGCCCAAAGAAGAGATACGGAAATGTTTTTGCTGGAAAAATTGGCCCATTCAGTCACGGAGAATCATTATGAATCGCTCTGCATTATGAATAGAGTGCACTCCGGTGGATGGGATGGGCTAAAGAGCCGACAGATTACCTTATGTATACTCGGCAAAACGTTGCAATTCGAGCGGAATATGTCAGGCAACGGTGGGGTTTCGCTTAACACCAATCTGCCACAGATAATGTACTCGCATCATAATTACCGCCAACTCATTTGACATATGACAGGGAGAACCCAACCCCATAGTATTCGTACTTTACCTTTTGTTATGACACGATGACACCATCCCCAGCCATTAGTTTTTACTCATTTGGTGTCGGGGGGAGGGGTGTAGGAGTATTTCGCCTTTAATGACACACGTTGCACTCAACTCACAGTTTATTGAGGAAAGTCTCAGCGATTAGAGTCGGGCGACTGTAAATCTCCGCCTCCACCTCGCCACCTCGCCACCTGTCCACCTGCCACCCCCTTGGCAGCACGGGAAACGAGTTTTGTTTTGTTTTCTCGTAGATATTGTGTTTAATTGGTATATGGCTAAGCTTCTTTTTATTTTGTTTATTTTTGGCCAGTCAGCGATAACATTCCGGTATTAATATTGTTATTATTATTGAACGAGTAGGTACACATGTGCATGCACTAGTCGGCAGATCGTGGGGCAATCCACGCCCACCTGTGCGGCCTGTGCGGTCTGTGCCAAAGCTAATGTAAATATATGTATGTACATCATGTACATCGTATCATCCTATGGATGAAAGGGAAACCAGTGGTGGGTCCGAGTGGTGGGACTGTGCGAGTTGTTTGCAGAGTGACGCACTGCATGGGCCAGAGATTAAGAGATCTTGATAAACAAAACTGAGCAAACAGAAACATTGCGAATATATTCGTATAAAAATATCACACATACATATGTACATATATGTACATATGCGAACACGCGAAAGCTCTTTGCCACCCAAGTGCGAAAAATTCTTATCTAACGATCGATAATGAAGGCGAAGTGCATTACTATCGTACACACACACAGGAACAAACATACACAGTACATACATATGTATGTATGTATGTATGTGGGATGTGTGTTCGGATTTAGATGGAACACATTGGTACGTAGGTGTTTAGGGGTAAAGCTTTTTGTGGCTTCTGCCGCGGAGGTCGGTCGACGTGACCAACGGCACATAGAACACAGCGAAAGCTTCTGGGACTGCGTCCGGGGTTTTGGAGTAATTTCCCGATGCGGCCACTGCGGCCCCCAATCTCTATATAAAGCCCCATGCAGGGCGTGCGTTCCGCGCATATTGCAAATATCTCGGCTCCAGGTTCGGTCGCTCTCAGTCGCTCTCAGTATTAGTTGTCGCTTCTCACACAACACAGCACAGCATGTGGTCGAAGATTGCCATTAGTGGAGCCCTGCTCGTGATGGGTGGCGCTCTGGCCGCCAGCGTGGTGGACAATTTCGCTTATGTGGATCGCTCCCTGGAGGTGGCCATGCCCAAGGCAAAGCGTCATGCGGCGCAGGAGTAATCTGAACTCTATAACGGAATGGAACGGAATGGAACGGACCGGAGCGGAGCGGAGGAAGTGCCTGCCCTGCCCTGCCCTGCCCTAAAATTTGGAGTTTTGAGTGGATCTCAATCCAAGCTACAAGCAACAGCCGACGGTTCAATGAACCAGAACCTCTCGCTAGTTGTACTCGGAATATGAGCACTACTACTACTCCTGCTTGTGTCCTGCCTATATACTCCTACCATATCCCATGGTAGGGCCACAAGCCGGAACTAGTCCTTGGCACTCCTCCTCCTCCTGCTTCGTCCAGTGCCCCACGAACAACATCAGTGTGTGTGTTTTTTTTTTTGTTCCCACAATTAAGATACATATTTTTTACTCTCTGTTTGTTTTTCGTATTACTAATGTAGATTTTAAGTGTTTTACAAATTAAGTAGCAATTAATAAAAACCCAATGCCAAGCCAAATTGCCTTTAAAGTCTTTTTTTGTGATCAATATTTTGTGATATGTGTTGAATCTTTAGGGACTGATGCTTTCAGTCTTGACCTTCTGCTGCTTCGAGCACAATACCCATGTTCTGATCCTTGGGATCCTCTTCAGCAAGCAAAGCTTCCACATACGCGATGAGTGCGTCTTCTTCGGCATCAGTGATCCGTGGACGTGCCTCTGTTTCTTCAGCACCCAACTTTGGTATGGCGTCCAATGGCTCTTGCTTTGATTTAGCTGTTCGCATACTTTTGGGACAGTCGAGGAGTGGGAGAGGGTTTTCGGACGGTACTAAGGTCCGCTTAGGCGGGCGGCCTCTGGGCCGCTTTACTGTCGTTTGTATTGGAAATGGCTCGATGTAGAGCACCTTAGCCTCTCCATTCCATGGTACTAATGAATTCTTGAGGTTGTCGATAGGCACATGGAGATCGCTGCCATCGGTGGTGGTGAACAGCAGCTCCTGGGGATGTTCGTTGGCAGGATCGCACAAGTTCACAAATTGAAATTCCACGTTCGGCACCTCCACCAAAACGGGCTCTGGCTTCGGTTTTCTGGTATACTTTATCCCTGGTGCTTTTGCCTTGATTTTTGGTCCCTTTCTAGGACGAGGCTTAATTGTGGCATTCGCTGAAGATGGCAGCTCAGTGCGAACAGTGTTCGAATTATTCAATTTGGGGCATTTGGCGAGCAAACCACTGGACAAATCGACCTTGGAGGGAAAACGTAAAGTTCTCGGTCCCTTCTTCACTTTATCGTCGACAGCCATCACAGGCGCTACGAAGGTCCAAACTTGGGGAAACATTCCGTTGCTGTTGTCTGTTGGTGTGGGACATTCGTTGGGATCGAAGGAGTCCATGTTCTGAGGCCAATCATGCGATCTGGCGAGCATCTGAGCATCTGGAGATTGATCCATGTCCGGAAACCCCATAACATCTTTTATGGGGTGCCTCTGTGTCTCTGGGGGATTAATATTATCCATGTTCTCCCACAACGAGGTGTACGGAAAGGCAAATGTACTCGGTGATAGCTTCTCGTTTTTGGGTTCTGGAATCGTCTCCAGCACAGGCCATGGCAACGGCAATCCAGCTAAAATAGGATCTCTGGATATTATGATTGGATCCAAATGGTTCGTGCTCTCCCAAAATAAGGTCATGGGGACAACATTGGAATCTGGCGACTGATCCGTGTCCCAAAGAGAGGTGTCGGGGCGTACAACATTAGAACTTGGGGATTGATCCACCTTCATATCCGAAAACACATGAAATGGTGAGACGTTCTCCTCTTTTTTGGGGTATGGGAATATGTCCATATCCGAAAACACATGAAATGGTGAGACGTTCTCCTCTTTTTTGGGGTATGGGAATATGTCCATATCCGAAAACACATGAAATGGTGAGACGTTCTCCTCTTTTTTGGGGTATGGGAATATGTCCATATCCGAAAACACATGAAATGGTGAGACGTTCTCCTCTTTTTTGGGGTATGGGAATATGTCCATATCCGAAAACACATGAAATGGTGAGACGTTCTCCTCTTTTTTGGGGTATGGGAATATGTCCATATCCGAAAACACATGGAATGGTGAGACGTTCTCCTCTTTTTTGGGGTATGGGAATATGTCCATGTCCGAAAACACATGAAATGGTGAGACGTTCTCCTCTTTTTTGGGGTATGGGAATAAGTCCATGTCCGAAAACACATGTAATGGTGGGACGTTCTCCTGTTTTATGGGGTGCATCAAAGGTTGGATCCGTTTTTCGGGTAAAGCAGGCTCTGTGGGATCACAATGATCAATGCTCTCCCAAAATGGGGTCTCCGGGCGTACAACTTTGCGACTTGGGGACTGTTTCCCGTACAGAAACGCAAATGGAGTCGGTGATGTCTTCTCCTCTTTTATGGAGGGCATCCATATGTCAGGTACAACAGGATCAATGGTATCAAAATAGTTCGTGCCCGCCCAAAGAGAGGTGTCGGGGCGTACAACATTAGGACTTGGGGATTGATCCATCTTCATGTCCGAAAACACATGAAATGGTGAGACGTTCTCCTCTTTTATGGGGTGCATCAAAGGTTCGATCCGTTTTTCGGCTAAAGCAGGCTCTGTGGAATCACAATGATCAATGCTCTCCCAAAATGGCGTCTCCGGGCGGACAAACGCGAATGGAGTCGGTGATTTCTTCTTCTTTTTTATGCGGTCAATGTTCTCTAAAAATAGAGCTTTGGGATGTAGAAACTTGGGATCTGTGGTTACGAAAAGAGGTTCTGTTACAATTCCCTTTGCGGCCGTTACATTCTGTACGATTTTATTCTTTATTTGGAGGATTTTTACTTGTGATTTTGCTTTTGATCCGAAAGGTTTCTTGGAATGATTATTGCACTTCGAAAAAGATTTTTTTATACCTTTCTCCTTTGGGGACCCCGCTGGTTCGGGGATATTGATCGCGGAATTGTGCAGTAGCGATTTCCGAATTCCCATGCGGAAAAACTTGGAAGGCCGCTTACGTAGACGGACCTCGTCCTCGGCTGTCAGCGCGAAGGGGTCCCTGCGATCTAACACCAAGCCACCCGGTGCTGGGCTGCACTGTTGCCCCTTGGGGTCTATATTGTGGTCATCCTTTGACTTGTGCTTTTTCGACGGGACATTGTCTTTTTCCTGCTTTGCCTTCCTTTTCGATACCATATTTTTAATGTGATATGATTTTTCATTCGGTTTTTTTACCCCTTTATTGTCCATCTGTTTGGGATCCGTTGCTGAAAGGATCTGTGTCTCTGTTTTTGGAGCGAAACTGTCTTCTTTCAGCTCCACCTTTCTTTTCAATAGTTTTTCCATAATTTCTTTCATATTGTGTAAAGTTTTCTGAATCGTCTCTTTGGCATCCGTTACTGGCTTGATCGCTTCCTGTTTTTTTTCATTGCATTGATATTCTTCGTCCAATTTGGGTCTTTTCGCACTGAAACTGTCTTCGCCCCAAGTCGACATCCTTTTTTCTTTGGATTTTTTGAATTTTGTGTGCATATTTTCCATCGGTTTCTCTGGTTTTGTGGACTTTACAACGTAGGACGACGGCTCCATTACTCTAGGCGAACTAATCGACTGCTCGAGTCAAAGCTGATGGAGGAAAAGAGAAAAAGGATGATGGTTACAAGAGAATCTCATAGCCGGTATCCCCGCAAGAGTCGAGGAACCCCCATTCCCATTCTCCCATATAAACATATTAATTTGAATTTGGTTCAGGCCTCATTTGCCTTTATTTCTGCTGACTCTTCAACTGCCCCCACTGCCATCCGCATAGCCCCACTAGACTCCTCTCTCCGTAAACCACACACACACAATCCACCCCCCCGCCACACTGCCACACTGCCACACTGTCAGAGCCCGCAATCTGTGGGCGCCGCACAAAAAATGACTGGCAAGCCGCAAATACTTTGTCAGGATCAAGTTGACAGTCGTCCCCTCTGCTGTCCTTTCCCTCCCTGTGATGTGGTCCTGTCCGGTACGGTCCTGTGTTCCACCGAGGCCGAGACCGAGACCAAGCGGGCCTATACCCCACAAACCAGCTTTCCCCTTCTCTCCGACCCGGTCCCGGTCTTCACGCATTTGACACTTTTTTGTCTTTTGTCTTTTGTCCGAGCCGAGAGCCGGCTGAGTGTCGCCATATGCCGGAGTCGGCCCCTGTCCCCTGTCCCCTATCCCCCATCCCCCCCCCCCCTGTGCGTGTGTTGAGGCATTTGACAGAACAGATTGTTCAAGATTTGATTTCGGGGCAGCTTTTCCACCAGTCTTAGTCTCTCTTTCTGCTCTCTGCTCTCCCTGGAACAATCGTTAATCTAATGAAAGATGGCATTCCCTGTGTGTGTGTGTGTGTGTGTGTGTGTGTGTGTGTGTGTGTGTGCGTGGGGGGAAAGGAAAGCATTTGAGCAGGCTTTGGCATGTTACCACATCCATATCCACATCCACTTCCTCATCCAATTTTGCCCCCAGTTTGTCGGAGCATTCATCATTCCAGGCTTGGGGCCTTAATGGGGCTAGTTACTGGCAAAGAGAGTGGGAGAGCCTCTGACCACCTGCGATCACAGTTCAATCTCCTCTCGTTCTGCGCTCGCGAGAATCCAAGACTGTCGTACTCAGAGTTGGCCAATAAAATTTGATTAGACCAAGCCCAGAGGCTGGGGGGAATATGAAAATTTACGCCAGCCAAGAGAAGAGACCCGTGCCTATCCCCAACCCTAAGGCCAACCATAACCCTTACCCTCTCAATCCTTGGACCAGGCCAGAGACATGAGTATTGTGTATTCATGGGGGCCGCCAGCCAGCACCAGCCAGCGAGGACCTCAGACAGGACAACTTTGGGTTAATTTACATTATAAACTTTGAATATTTTATTGTTTGGCCAGGCTAAGGACAGAGCTGGCTTTGGCCGTGGCTTCGGCTCTATGGCTCTATGGCTCTAAGGCTCTCGGCTCCTTCTTCCCTGTCGCATTTATTGACACTTTCCCGAAGGGTGGAGAGAGGGGCGAGGGCGAGGGCATCCAGGGCGGCTGTGGTCAGCAAAATGATGACAGAAAGGAGGAACGCATGGGTTGGGCGGAAGGTTACTCTGATTTAATGGAAGCATAAACATTTCTGGCCAAGATTATAAGGGAGCCACTGCCATTGCCACTGCCACCGCCTCCTTCCCTTCGTGGCCCTACCATCGCTAGGCTACATCCTCCTTCCACTCCTACATTTCCTACTCCAATTTTCAAACCTATTCCCATTCCCATTCCCTTTCGCCATCCTCATTAGCATAGATGGCTGGCTGCTTGTTAAGCTTTTAAGCATCAGGTTACTAAATAATTAAACAATTTCCCGTTGCCAGCTCGTAAACCAAATCAACCGCAGATTGCGAGTGGAGTGGAGAGCCCCAGGAGCCTACCCTGGTGCCCCCTGGGGCCGGCAGCAAAGAGGCACTGCCTACAGGTGGCTGCCATCGAAGTATTGTATTTCACGATTGCTGCCGACAAGTACAGATAGTACCATTGAAAATTGTCCAATTTGTATGATAACAGACTCGATTAGAGAAGGGGAGCTTTCGAATTTCATTCCCATCTGGATGGAAATGATGGACACTGAGAGGAGATGGCATATGGCATTAGATGCACTCGAGGTACACGGCACTGCTACGAGTATATGGTATTGGGGGTATTTTTCTAGCAAGTTGAAGAGTCCGGGACTGAGACACTTCCCAAGCCTGCAACCGAATTGACATTATTTTTACTCATCAAACGATTTCCTCAGAATTCACGGATTAATGTATCAACACAGTGGAATACTTATACACCATATATGATGGCTCGATGGCACACTAACCCCTAGCCCCTGAGCGGTGGAATGACCTGGACACACAGATTGCTGTAGCTGGTGACCGCAGATCCTTTGACAATGATATGCCTCTTCAAAATTGATTCTTAGGCAAGTTGGTTCTATCAATGGATATAGTTCTGAGGGATAATGATTCGCGCTTGAATTTCAACGAAGTTCCCTTGGCCGATTCAGGCAGAATGATAGATGCTGTGGATGCCGAATTATGAATTAAAGTCTTAGCATAAAGACTGAAACCTTGACAAAAGAATGGGGGATAGAAGTCGGGTAGGATTTTCTTAGATAAAAGGACAGACCCCAGAGATACTCTACGTTCTATCGATAGCCATGATTCCCCTACGACATTCTGCACTTTCGTTTTCCCATCCACTCCCATAGCGAACCACTTATTGCTGGCTTTTCTATTGAAAACTCATGTTTATGGTCTTGGAACGTTTTCCCTGATGAAAGTTTTTCCGAAGCTGCTAATAAGCTACGTGTTTCAGCATCAGCACCACCCTTTTAGGTGCAGATACAGGTACTGCTGCTGCTGCCGCCGGATGTGCGGGGGTGAGGAGGAGTGCCACGGCTTTTGGGCTAATAAAAATACGAGACAATTTAAGCCGCTGCCTTTCCGTGTGCTCTTTGTTGTTGGCTGTTGGCTGTTGGCTGCTGCTGCTGCTGATGCTCCTCCCAGGGGGAAGGGTCGAAGAAGAACTAAGCCACATATGTATGAATAAACCCCACTAATCCACAGCCCACCACCTCGCAGGAGCAGGATTGCAGAGGGGGAAGAGAAATTAATAATTTATAAATGTTTGCTGGCGCCAAAGATTAAGCAAAGGATTTTCAACGCCTTTTTTCTTCGCAAGAAAAAGGGGAATAGGGAAACACCCAAACTTGGAGGGGTGGGTGGCGTTGGCGGTGGCGGTGGCAGTGGCAATGGGGGGGAAACTCATTTAAAGAAATGCTCCGCTTATCGGGTGGCTGCCATCGAAATTAGCCAAAGCCAAAAGTGCGAAGAAGGACACGAATGCGGTCTCAGGCGGGGGCGGGGCGTCCGGAGGACAAAGCGTATGCAAGGAATGCAATAAATTATAATGCAAATCCGCGCTTGAGATCAAAACAACCACAAAACGGGGCATTAAATGCTCGCCACTTGACTGCGCCCCCCCCATTTTTTTATGGATACACTTTTTCTCTGTGCTCTCTGCTCCATCCTTCATTCTTTTTTCTTGCTCCTTGTTGTTCCTCCATTTAAAATGATAAAAATCGCAAGCAATTTTTTTCGCGCCCGCCACTCAGGACCAGAATCCGGAGAGGACCACTACGATGGGACGGCACGGACCAGAGCAAGGGATGGCGTTGTCGAGGGCGGACGGTGTGGGAGGACTGGAGGGTGCGCGGTGTGGGGGCCGTGACGAAAACACCGAAATTCGAACAAACTTGAAATGATTTTCACTCACCATTCAAACGGCAGTCGGAAACTCCAACGATTCATACGAGTAGACTCGTTGCTGGCTGCACGATCCTCAAAATATCAGCCATACACAAATACACAAATAAATGGAATAGTATCAGTTTGACATCAACTTGTATTTAAGGCCGTGCCTACTGTTCCGATGCTGGAATATAACAAATATTCGTGCGAAATATCAAGTATGCTATAGTGTATAGTGTCACAAATATTTATGTTAATGGAATCCGAACTCAAGGTATACACTATATTAGGTCCCCAAATCGATGAGCACTCTGATGAGGAGTAGGGCGGATGGGTCAAGCGGGGGGTCCGGGACAAAGCAGGGAATGTGCTGTGGGTGGGAGCTACTCACCAATCAATCGGTGCACTGTTGCTGCATTCACAATGAGGCACTCAAATGTGCACTGTTGCATGCACAATGTGGCACTTATACACTACACTATTTCTGATGCACTTCAACCGGTTTCTGCGACTTCCCTATTCAGGGCTGCCCATCCTGCAATGCAAAGGGTTCTAGTCGAATAACTCAAACAGTAATTTTTGACCGATGAATTCACAAATAAAAATCTCGGCACAAAATGTGTGTTTTCGTTTATTTTTTAAGCCGGTGATGTTATTACTACGATTCGAATGTGGAGAATGAGAAAAAGGGGTCCTAGTTCATGTAGTTTGAATATACCGATTGACATTTATTTTCAGCGCCTATTTCCTACTGAAAATTGGAGCGAATCAAGTGTAGATTAAAATAGAGAGGTGTTCCCAGTTCCCAGTTCCCAGTCGAGGAGCAGGAAAAGAGAAGCTGAGAATGAATGATCATACATTTAAAGCAAAATAGAATTCCTTATGAAATTCTTATGGCTGATGAATCGAAGGCTCTTTGGGAATGCTTGGAGTATCTTCAGACACAATTAGTGTTTCGCAACGTAAGAAAAAGGCGAACAACTCAGTGAAACCCTGCTGTTTTGCTGTCTTCCAGTCGTCCGGACCGTCTCAATTCGCAATCATTGTACTTATTGTACCTTTGGCTGAGCTCAAGTCTCCACCTGAGGCTCATTATCCATCTGAATAGCCACCTGCCCTGCTGCTTAGCTGCCTGGTGAAAAGGAAAGCTCAGCTCCAGTCAGTCCCTGCGTTCATTCATTCATATTTTCCCACATGTCCCACTCCCACTCGCACTCCCTGCCGCCTCCGCAGTGGCTTTTCGATGTACAAAATTATAAGCATATGTAAATGGTAAAAATATCTCCCCCGAATTCTCATCTCCCGTCCGCCCACCCTTCAGCCGTCCAAGTCTCCACTCCATCCGCTCGTTTGATCTGCCACATAATGTTTCAAAATGCCTTCTTTTTAAAGCAAAGCAAAAAAAAAGGAAATAAGAAAAGTTTAAATACGAAATGCTGACAAATGCGTTTCGATTTCCATCCGCAAATGGGAGGAGGCGTGGTCAGGGCGGGTGCGGATGGTGCGGGGGTTGCGGGGGTGGGATTGGAATTGGGTTTTCCATATCTCAAAGTTGGGAAATTAAATTAAATTTCTTTATTGGCACTTTTTTCTGCATTCGTTTCATTTCGTTTGCCACGCATATGCATATGCAAAAAAAAAAAACGAAACGAAACGAAACGAAACTTCCCAATGGGCTGTCTCTCAACAGGGTGGTGTGTGGGTGGGTGGGTGAGTGGTTGGACAGCCAAAGCAATCAGCAGCAATAAATGATAAGCTTCGAGGCAAGAAAGCCTGAGGCAAAAGACGCACGAGCACAAAGCAAAACATAATGGTGGGGTGCGGGGGTGGTGCGTGTGGGGCTGAAGGCCAAGCAAAAAACGTCTCAAAAGCTCGAAGAAAAGAAAGGAAAATGTCACATACAAGGCACCGGCCAGGACCTCGGACCCCGGAACCCCGCATCCCCGAAACCCCGAACCCCGGCTGCAGCAGCACCCACATTGAGGGATGGAATAGGCTTGGATTGGACTTGGGTCTGGTCTGGTCTGGTCTGGTCCGGCCTGTCTGGTCAGGGAATGGGAATGGCATCATGGATGGCATTGGAGTGGAAGCGGGAGTGGGAGTGGGAGTGGGAGTCGGCGCTTGTCTGGGGCTACTTTGCAACAGATTTGCCGCTAACGAAGCGCACGATTTCCAATAATGTGCAGAATGTGTCTGCGAGATGCGGATGCGATTCAGTGCTACCCAGCAGGACATATCCCTTGGAGGTGGCCCAGGCAAACGGGAATCAATGGACACACGTGGCCAGACTTTCATTCATATTAAACACTATTGACTCGGAAACCTCGGAAACATAACGAGAGTGCCAGAAGAACAATATTAAGTTTCTTTCTCTTGGAGACTGTCCCTTTGGAAGCTCCTCTGAATCTTTAGCCAACACCGCTTCCAGGAATAGTCTAGATGTGATTCAAGTCTTTCCTTGTACAATTCTTCAGACATCTTCCATGCAGGAGCCAATTGTCAGACTGCGAAACAGGGTATCCGCAAATCGCACCTTTGGCAGTGCACACACACATGGCGATACAATCAAGTGGGATTGTGGGCGTGTGTGAGTGTCACTCATAAAACGTACACCGAATGGACACCCACCCATAGACACCCATACACACTCATATGTAGACATGGGCCACGGCCACAGCCACGGCCACGGAAAGATGCGACTTGTTAGCCGGACTTTGCCATAATGAGTTCCCTTGTGGCCAGGCCGGTCCATATCGCCCTTTTATAGAGCCGCCCAAGAGGATGGGGTGTGGGGTATTGGCAGGGGGTAGGCGGGGGTGCGTCAAGGTGAAAGCCACTTAAAGCCAAGGGCATGGCTCAACAATTTCCAGTTATCGTGTGACAGTAATGAAGTGACAGACAGGCAACACGAGTTGAAGAAGACGTCAGCTGACGCTGACGCCGACGATGACGTCGGCGCCGATGACAACTCGACCGCAAAGCCTGAAGTGTGAAGTCGGTGTATCCACCGGGGGGATTGGAGACTCACAGATACGGAGAGGGACTTCGCGAAAGATACATGTCTCGCTTAAAGCAATTTAAAGGGCCGAAAACTTCAGCCCCGTTCTGTATCTGTACCTCTCGCTCTCTCGCCGCGGTCTTCGGACAGAAGCCACATAAATTATTAATTGCGGAATAATTGCAAAATTGTGTTTGGCCAAGTTAATTTATGCAATAAAACTTCACCGCAGGCCGCGCCACCGTCGGACCACCGACGGACCACCGACACCAACCGACCAGCAACTGATGTGAGGATGGGGCCCGCGAGTGGGGTGTCCTGTAGTCCCTGCTATGGACTTCGGTTTAAAGTCGTTCTCTCACTCCATTTGCCACTCTTCATTCCGTATAATTCCTTTGCTCATTTAGAGCAAGTGCCGACCGGCCTTTTTTTCGTCTCGTTTCGTTCCGTTTCGTTTCTGGCCACCCAGCTAATGAGCCACTGATGGTCATGGGCCAGAGAACCCTCCGCTGTCCGCTGTTCGCTGTCGGCTGTCCCATCCCCGCTTTTCAGGCCAGGGCCAGAGCAATTACTTAATCATTTGCCTAACGACCAAAAGGCAGGCGAAAGGCAACAACAAAAATTAGCAAAAATTAAGTGAAAGTTGAAATGAATTGGGGGCTAAAGAGGGACTTCCATGGCTTCCATGTGGATAGGCCCTCGTACTCGTACTTCGACTCTCGAGTGGCGGTACGCCAAAGGAATCAACCGTGCCGCAAGCACAAGGTTTAAGTGGTTGAAAATATCTGTACTATGGGTGTTGTTTTTCTAATTTGAAATAAAATACTTGAAAGTAATTAAAAGATCTATAAGAGCATTTGGAAATCCATAACAGCCAATCAAAAGTACAAGTAATTTCCATTAATATATTTCAGTGCGATCCAAGGCATCTCAAGACAAAGAACAGCGCCACACTTAAGGATCTTAAGCAGCTTAAAGATTCAACAAGATCCCATATGAAGATCCCAAAGATCAACATTCAAAAATGTTTAAAGAATCATACAAATGTATCTTAAATATGTTACATTATGTCTTGTATGCAAAAGTATCTTGATTATGCAAAAAGATTTCCAACTTGGAAAAGTTTCTCAACTTTTATTTCCATAATGAATTTGAATTATGCAAAAGTATCTGAAACATTGAAAAGCATGACAGAGATGCCAGAAATGCCCCCAATTATACAGATTGAACTATCTTTATCTGTATGCTAATGTATCTGCAATATGTAAAACTGTTTATTACATTCAAAGGTTTCTGAAATACGCAAAATTGATTAAACGATTCAGAAAGTATCTGCTTCCTAGAGAAATATCTAACCCATTCTAATAAATCTTAGAGCTGCAAGGTATCCCAAATATATCTCTCGAAAGTATCATCTTTTCGCAAACCTATTCCAGAGCTACCTGAAAGATACTCGTATGAAATAAACTACTTCATTGACTGGAGACTATCGGCACAGAAACCCAGAAGCCCATTAGATGGAATTTTACACCATTTTCACTCCGATTTCCATCCATTTTCAGCCGCTTATGTTGAAGTTTTGTTCTGTGCCTCTCGCCAGATCTGATTTTCATCTCAGGCGTTCAACTTCCCGAATCCTCTCCCCTCCCGTCGCAGTCGCAGACCCAGTTTCAAAAGAAAGAATCAAACGTGGGTTGGTGGGAGCTGCTGGAGAGCTGCAAGCGGAAGAGGGAGGAAAAATCAACATAAACATTTTTGATATTTCAAATATTTTTCATTTAAAATTCCTTGGACGAGGCCATGAGGTCGTTGGGGCAGCAGCAGCAGCAGATACAACAGGATTGAGATACTCTTGGGCCTTGTCCTGGCTTGTTATTATTATTGCTCTCCGGCTCCATCTTTTCTCTGCTTTTCCCGCAACCCTCCACTTCAGCAGATACTTTTGTATCTGTGTATCCAAGTATCCAAGTAGAAAGGTGTGTGTGTGTGTGTGTGTGTGTGTGAGTGGCTTTTGGCCTGCATGTGCATACATCTGCATCTGCGAAATACGAGCGACCGAGTGTGTGCGCGTGTGAATGTGTATCTTATGGATTTTTGCTTTGGCCCAGGCCCAGGCCCAAGCCCAGGCCCAAGCCGAGGCCCAGGCAAGCATATAAATCTATTATCCTTTAATTTAGCCCCAGAAATAATGAAGCATGTAAGATTCCTTTGCGTATGAGTGTGTGTGTCTGTGCATGTGTATCTGTGTGCGTGCGTGCCACGCCTTCTGCCCCCTCTGACACACATAAATTCAATCAACGGCAATTTGCTGGCAAAGTTGCAAAGGCGTCGACGCCGACGTCCACAAATGTGCAATTTATTTATTGTTGCCACAGCCGCTGCCTAGCTCTAGCTGCCTCCTGTTTCAATTGTCTCAATACCCCGCAAAAGAGTGGGCCCCACGATATAGGGCATTACTGGATGAATTGTAAGCGATTAAAGACAGAAAACTGAGCAGAGAAGGAACAGGCATCCCCATTAAAGATTTATTTAAAGAGCGATCTCCTAGTTTTACTTAAGGTCCTTCTCCTTTAAAGGTGACCAGAATGGAGAGAG